TTCAGTTGTTGAGTCGCAGGAGGATAGAGAGCTGAGAGTGACTGGATTGGACGCAGTGATGCCAGGCTTTACAACATTCTCTATGGGTTTAGGAATTGGATTATGCATGCTGGTAGAGTCTGTGTCAAAGTCTTAGAAGTTCCCATTCCAGTGCTTAATAAACATGACACTGGCATGAAATGTGTATCTACAGTGTGTAGGATGAACTTGCCGTATGCGTTACGGAGTAATTAAAATTTTTGCAATGCAAAATTTAAAAGCTTCGCAAGTGCAGATTTGAAATACAATGTCTGCAGTTTGTTTTTTTGGCACTTTTGAGTGTGAAATGGCCCTTAAGGGGGAATAAAACTGCAATAATATGAGGGAGCTTTGTAAATCCCTGAGGAGATTAACCTCTCCTACCTGCCAATTTTGTGATTTCTCTAGTGTTCATAGTTCTTATTTAGTTTTATAAAACTATCTCGGTAGTACTGGAGGTTATTTTCAACCATGGTAGGTTTGCTCCGTCATCCCTATATTTTTCGTAAACCTAATAGGTTTTTTAATTTACTGCTCTAACGACTTGCCTTGAAGATAAGCCCCTGGAATGGATTACCCAGCCTTTGGCTTTTTGGATAGGTGCCCGTTTTCCGAAGGCAGTTATGAATAAAACAGAAATTGTAGTGTAAAATTAATCTGAATGATTCAGTTTTCAGTATTGTTTTTAAATAATTGATTATCTTCAGTTTTTTTCAGTTTTGTTCAATTAAACCTTTCAGTTTGTTAACCTGAAAAAATTGGAAAAGTATTTTGATTGAGAGTCAGACTTTGTTTTAAAAGTTTTCTGAAATCTGTGCCCTTCTCTGTGCTCTTATTTACTTAGCAGTTTCATGACCAGGCTGATGTATATTCTGACAAGAACAATAGAGATGGAAAAAGTTCATGCTGGGAGAATCTCAGGGTGTTGTGGATTAGTATGATGACGAAGAAGAAAAATCTCCAGAAGGAAAATAATATTTTGAGGGGAAAAAAAACTTGCAGTTTTACTTATCAGTTCATATTCTGTACTTTATTCATTCTGACAAGCCTGATTTCAATTATTCACATGGCCATTATTACAGCACCTAAAGCCCAAGAAAGTCAAGTGTCCCCACATCTTTGATAGTGAAGAAACCTTTGAAATATTTGCCATTCTCTAGTTCAGTTAAAAGCATTCTATAATAACACTTATTTAATAAAGCTTTGGAACTGGAAATTAATTCTTAAATGAAAAGGTTGTAATTTGCAAAATGCAGTTGCATTAGCAGAACTTTAAGAATTAAGAACTACATTCTTATGTAGTTTAAGACATGATTGTTAACATGTAATTACAGAGATAAATCACATTGGGAAACAAACCCACTAGGACTTGTAATGCACTAGACAAGCCCACTTGGGGACAAGGACTTTTTGAAATACCTTTTAATCGCTAATGGTGAGTGGGGTCTTTTCTGTAGCCGTGTAATAAATGAATAAATGTTTGTGTTGTAATGGGAAATATTCCTGAAATTAGCAGCAAGAAATGGGGCTTTGGTAAGCTCATGCTCACCCTGTTTTTTTTTTATACCCAGTACATTTATACTGTAAAGCCTACGGCCACCATTGCCGGTTGTGAGAGCCGGTTTACCAGTGCGGTGATGTCAAGGCCCTTCCCTGTGAATAGGAGGGACCACAGCCGTCGGGCTGAGGGGAGATTTCCCTTTGGCTCAACTGGCTGGGTCCCTGTTGAGTGACGTCGGAGGCCCAGGTCGAGTCCCCCGACGGTGGGGGGCCGACTTGAGGTGGCAGAGGCGAGGGCGCATATTCACGTGAACCCGAGAGCGCTACAATACCCTTCTAATCACACAAATACATTTACATGCCATTATGTGTCTGTCGGGACTCACAAGAACATCGTTATTAAGGAATCTTGTTTGTAAAGATATTATTCAGGGTTCTTACACAACTCTCCTTTGAGACGTGTTTAATAAAAAATGGAAAGTTATTGAAGTTTCTTCTACCCACTTGCTCAAGGGTTATACTGAGATTATATGAAACCATATATCATTTTGATAGCTGCAGTTTATCAAACATTTGTAATTATTGCGGTGGAATCATCATTAGTTCAACTGTCTACTTCAAATTTTATTTAGGTTCTGAGATGGGAGTCCCTTACCTAATACTTTTTTTCCAGTTATTGAAAGGGGCAGTATAAGTGAATCCAAGCCAATTTAAAAGAAATTACTCTTTTGACTACATCTTTTAGGTTTTGCCAGTAGATCAATAGTTTGGGATTAAAATTATGGATTTAATGAGTGATTTAAAGTGTATTTTGAAAGACAGTTTTCTTAACATGATAATTGTTTTTAATTTATAATATATTATTACTAATATTGTTCAACTTAGTGTCTGTCCAAATGTGTTAATACAGATATCCAAAGAACATTCTGACTTTAAAATATCAGCTTTGTGGGACTATTTAAACATAGTTCTTTAAAAAATGTGTTAAATACAATGGGTTCATGTTTTTAACCCTTCAGTTTCACCTTCGCCTTAAATACATTATAGTTCATTCTTTATTGTTTGCAAGTTGAATATGTTCCTGGGTCTCAGATTTTCTAAGTCTGGATTCAGTTCCCAGTGAGCAGGTTAACCTCGGAGTCGAATTAAAGAGTCTTCAGAAACATGGTAATGAAGAGGGATCTCTGCAGTGATCTAGGGCTCTCTTCAAGATATCTGTCCTTCCATTAACTCCTGTTGCTAAGAAGAGAATTTCCTCTCCTCCCTTTTTTTCCCTGGAGTTTTGCAGTTGCGGGTGTTAGCTTTAAAGAATAACGTGTTTCTGTGGGCCTGTACTTAACCGAGCTCTTCCCGAGCAGAGGCTACTCACACAGCCTCAGCAACAGGGATTTCTCAATAACTATTTTTCACCATATACAAATCCAAAAATGACATGTTTAAATTATACATTTTGAAGTCCAAATGTAGCTGTTCTTTAATTTGGTGTTTGCAATACCTTAGTTTGTGATCTGAGTCAAGATTCTAATGCACGTACAGGAGCTCTACACTAGAGTTTTCT